TTAAATGGAGAGGCATTTGGATTATATACTGCTAACAGATTATCGGTGCTACTGCTATTAACATGTCGATTTGAGGCGATATCTCGTTGTTACTCTGGAAAATAGTCGAGAAATAAGGTGTTGAAATGAACGAACCATTATTATCGTGCGGTGAGGCCATTACACGTAACGGTGATGCGACTGCATTCGGATGCGCGCTTGAGAGTGAAGAACTCAACAGGTAGGACAGGTATGCATTCTGAAAGATCAACTGTAAGAAAGTGCTAATGAACGAAAGCTGGTGAAATGCACTGAAAAGTATTTCGCAGAAACAGCATCTGTTCAAATTCCATAATGGAATCCACTCGCAATTGCTGATTTCAACTGATCAAGTAAATTTTTGAACTGGATTCGAAACATTTCGATGACATTCCATTTTACGGTCATGCTGACATACTGTTGAACCATCGGAGTGGATTCTAGATCGATTGTTGCTTGAACTCTCTCTAGAGGAGTTGAGTTGATCAAAAAGCTAACCTGAAGTTGTTGCGCATGTGCTAGCTCCGGATTCGCTCCGGCCACTACGGCTGCCGAAGCAGCGGCTGCCGCCACAGCGCTTGCGAAAGCACTCGGATCCGCCAAGGCGCCATTCTGCGGAATCGTAAATGCCGATGGACCGGCCGCAAACAAATGTGGCCAAACGGCTGCGGCCGCATTTCGCTCAATGCTCTCCGAGACTCTGAATTTGGAATGGTTGTTGAGGAGAATTTCGGCGAGAAAATAGGTTAGAGGTTTAGATTCATCGGATCAGAGCAGTCATTTTGAGGTGGTTGGGGACCTCAGAATGGTATAAGTGCTCACAATCAGATCGATACCATATTAGTTGTATGTTATGCGTACTGGTGAATGCACAAATACTAGAACTGATAGTGGATTCTCTTGGAGATGCTTTGCTCATATCAGTCGAACTGTTTTGAATGAAATGTTACCGTCATTATAAAACTGCTTGATTGCTAACGCTAGCAGAATATGTTCCATGAAAAAATGTGATATTTGTACACATCCCTATCTACTCCTAACTTCTACCTAGGCGTAGTAGTTCAATTTGCTGTGATCACTAGACACACGGGCACATTATCGCATGATTAATGTATGAAATGATAGGATGTTAGCATTTGATAGTATACGATAGCATAATGAGGTTCAGCCATTGAATGCTAGTAGCAATAAAATGAGTCGTGATGGCGGATTAATAATTTATTGAAGTCGAATGTTCGACGAATAACAACTGCAAAAAAAATCGAATTGTTCCTCAATTCGTTTCGATAGACTTTAATCGGCGGATAATTGCGGTGCATTACGGATGCATGCAAAGGTTCTGCGTAGTGTGAACATGCGCTCATATCGCTAATGAATTTAAGCGATTTCCGGCGCTTAAAGCTCAAAAATTATGTCCATCTCATGCAGGTCAATGGAAATCAACGCTTTTCTGAACCTTTCACTCGCCACAACTCGATCTATATCAACAGTATGAGTTGAGGCTGACCTGATTGGTTCATCGTCTGTGGACCGACATCGACCATTCGAAACGTTATCGTCGTCGCTAACCGATGAGCTGCTGGAATTTGAAATTCATAATATGCTTCTCGAATTGGCGTAATCAAACAGCTGCTTGATTCAAAAACCAAGAAACGTATCATATCATGAAGGCGAATAACCAACCTTGCCCGACTACTCGTAGATGGCTCCTTTTTCTCCAACAATTTTGAGATACTATATGAATTATTTACAACATTATTCAGCGGTCGAAGATGACTGTTTCCAGTGGTCACATCTTTACGTGATGCGAAACTATCTTCAGGACTAGATGACAGACTCGATTTGTAGAGTGCTTTCGGAAGATGATCATTAACACTCTGAAAAGTGTGCCACTATAATAGTGCTTGATGTGCAGCTGCAGTTAGAGCCAGTTATTTCGAAATTGATGAGACACGGTTCAGGTTAAAGCGTTCAAATTATTGGCAGGCGACTGTTTTGCTGAGATGAACTCTTGGATTGCAGGAGAGTCTTGATAACTTCAGAGATTCGATCTACTTTCTTGAGCATTGACCATTGAATTATC